CACGATATGTGGATAATTAGTAAAAAAATCCACGAAGTGTGTATAATTTATAAAAATTATCCACGATAAGTGAATAATTAGTAAACATTATCCACGAAGTGTGGATATTTAATAAAAATTATCCACGATATGTGGATAATTAGTAAAAATTATCAACAAAGTGTGGATAATAAAATTATCCACGATATGTGGATAGTAAAATTATCCACGAAGTGTGGATAATTAGTAAAAATTATCCACGGAGTGGGGATAATTTATAAAAATTATCCACGAAGAGTGGATAATTTATAAAAATTGTGGATATTTTATAGAAATTATCCGAGATATGTGGATAATTTATAAAAATTATCCACGATATGTGGATAATTAGTAAAAATTATCCACGAAGTGTGGATAATTTATAAAAATTATCCACGAAGTGTGGATAATTTATAAAAATTATCCACGATATGTGGATAATTAGTAAAAATTATCCACGAAGTGTGGATAATTTATAAAAATTATCCACAAAGTGTGGATAATTTATAAAAATTATCCACAAAGTGTGGATATTTTACAAAAATTATCCACGATGGATAATAAAATTATCAACGATATGTGGATAATTAGTAAAAATTATCCACGAAGTGTGGATAATTTATAAAAATTATCAACGATACGTGGATAATTTATAAAAATTATCCACGAATTGTGGATAATTTATAAAAAAATATTCACGATATGTGGATAACTAGTAAAAATTATCCACGGAGTGGGGATAATTTATAAAAATTATCCACAATATGTGGATAATTAGTAAAAATTATCCACGAAGTGAGGATAATTTTTGAAAATCATCCACGATATGTGGATAATTAGTGAAAATTATCCACGAAGTGTGGATAATTTATAAAAATTATCCACGATATGTGGATAATTAGTAAAAATTATCCACAAAATGTGGATAATTTATAAAAATTAGGGATAATTTTTTGAAAATTTTCAAAATTTTTTTCCAAATGGTGGAGGGTATTCAAAGTTCGGCCCGGCCGATCTTACTGCTTTTTAACTTGTTTCTAAAAAACCTATTTTCATCCAATCCGAAACCCCAAGTTTTCCCAGCCGGAAAAAAATATAATCTTGCATTTCCTTGCGGTCTGTAATCCCGCCAATACTTGTGGTTTGACACCAATCAGCTTCTTTGATTTTCCTACTGCCAATGCCAAAATCTCTTTAAAATTCTCTTTTTTTTTTTTTTTTTTGTTTGCCAAGTTTAAAGGTCAATGTCTCGTTGGCTTAAACGCTGATAAGCAATTTCTTTTAAATTTCATTTTACATCTCGAAACAATCCCTCGATGCTAGTCAGCCAACCGTCTGCTGATCCACATATTATTTCCTCTGGATAACGGTTTAACATTGGCATTAATAAAACCTAACAGCACCATGGCAGGCTTTCAGAGGAAAGCGGCAGCCGCAGCTGGAGAGCTAGATAGAAGTGGAGAAAAAAAAAAAACAACGTAACGCCAACAAACCATTGATCATCGTGTTGCACGCTAGGCGAAAAAAAAAACTGAAGTTGATCATGGCTGAAGAAGTGCAACTGGGCCTTCTCATTTAAGCGGAGCAGAGTAGTGGATCAGCAGCTAGCAGAAAAAAAATCGACGGATAATAGCTTGTTATACAACTTTCATGGTTGCGGTTGCAAGTTTGCACAAAATTAGCGGAAAAAAACGACAAGGAATGGGGGCTAACGAAACATGGCTACAGTGGGTTCTTGATAATTGCAAAGTTCCTTTTTTTCACCGGGAAAAAGTAACTCATTCTAGGTTTGTCTCTGGGAGATGGGAAATCGCCAATGGAAGGGACTTGAGTGGATTGCAATTATCCGTAATGGCCTGTATTTCCATAATTCACTCCCCACCACACGTAGAGAAAGGAGATGTTGAAAAGAAGAAGAAAAAAAAAACGCTGCTCAACTCAAACTGGAACAACTGGAAGATCGAGATGATGTTGCCGATGATGACGGTGATCAGCCAGCAGTTGTCGTTTTTTTTTTTTCTATTTTACACAAATGGCCAGGCTTATAATCATCTAGCTCAGCCCGATGGCTTACTCGTCCGCCAGTTAGCTGGTCTTTTGCCAAATGTTGTTGTCGTTGTCTTTGCAATTCATCAAAACTCGCTCACCGGTCTCAAAGCTCGGCACGATTGCGTTATGTGACACACAATCGATTCGAAAGAAAATGAAATAGAAGATACCGAAGAGCTGCAGCCATCAGATCAGTCAGTCAGGCGAATAAACGCCCGAATCATCATCGGCCGACAGCCAAACAATTGGATTGAATGACAATGGCAAAAGAGGTGGAACAAAAAAAAATCTACCCCAAATAGCGAAACTTATCACACATTTGCAACAACATTGTTGCAGGAGCGAGTTGTGGCAGTTGTGGCATTCATTAGCGAATAGAGGTGATGAAATGGAATCAAGCTTGCCGGCAAATAGCGGCAAAAATTATTTATTTTTTCCGAATCTATGATTGTTCGGCCATTGTTTTTCATTCAACACCACTGTCACTTGTCGCGATTTTTTTGCTTCGATTTTGAAATGTTTTCAAAGCTATTTGAAAGGTGGTGATAGGAATCTGAGGATTTTTCTTTAAAAAATCGGAATGTCATCTAAGCAGAATGTCAGCGAGATTTTCCAAAGGAAAATGTCTTTGAAATGCAGCTAAAAAGAAGTTTTCCTCCCAGGAAATCAGCTTTTCAGCCCCGGCCGAATAGAGGTCTTCCCCAGAGGAAAACTGCTATTCAGCCCAGGCAGAATAGAGGTCTTCCCCAGAGGAAAACTGTCATTCAGCCTGGGCTGAATAGAGGTCTTCCCCAAAGGAAAACTGCTATTCAGCCCAGGCTGAATAGAGGTTTCCCCATAGGTAAACTGCTATTCAGCTTGGGCTGAATAGAGGTCTTCCCCAGAGGAATACTGCTATTCAGCCTGGGCTGAATAGAGGTTTTCCCCATAGGAAAACTGCTATTCATCCCAGGCTGAATAGAGGTTTACCCCAGCGGAAAACTGCCATTCAGCCCAGGCTGAATAGAGGTTTACCCCAGCGGAAAACTGCCATTCAGCCCAGGCTGAATAGAGGTTTTCCCCAGCGGAAAACTTCTATTCAGCCCAGGCTGAATAGAGGTCTTCCCCAGAGGAAAATTTCTATTCAGCCCAGGCTGAATAGAGGTCTTCCCCAGAGGAAAATTTCAATTCAGCCCAGGCTGAATAGAGGTCTTCCCCAGAGGAAAACTTATATTCAGCCCAGGCTGAAAAGAGGTCTTCCCCAGAGGAAATCTGCTATTCAGCCCAGGCTGAATGGGGGTTTCCATAGGAAATCTAGAATTTTCATAGGGAATCTGCTATTCAGCCTGGCTAAATGGGGGTTTCCGTAGGAAAACTGCCATTCAGACCCTGCTAAATGGGGGTTTCCGTAGGAAATCTACCATTCAGCCCGGCTGAAGGGAGGTTTCCATAGGAAATCTACCATTCAGCCCGGCTGAATGGAGGTTTCCATAGGAAATCTACCATTCAGCCCGGCTGAAGGGAGGTTTCCATAGGAAATCTGCCATTCAGCCTGGCTAAATGGGGGTTTCCATAGGAATTCTGCCATTCAGCCCGGCTGAATGGGGGTTTCCATAGGAAATCTACCATTCAGCCAGGTTGAATGGTTGTTTCCATAGGATATCTGCCATTCAGCCAGGTTGAATGGGGGTTTCCATAGGAAATCTGCCATTCAGACCGGCTGAATGGGGGTTTCCTTAGGAAATCTGTCATTCTGCCCCGGCTGAAATCTGCCATTCAACCCGGCTGAATGGGGGTTTCCATAGGAAATCTGCCATTCAGCCCCGCCTGAATGGGGGTTTCCATAGGAAATCTGCCATTCAGCCCGGCTGAAGGGAGGTTTCCATAGGAAATCTGTCATTCAGCCCGGCTGAATGGGGGTTTCCATAGGAAATCTGCCATTCAGCCCGGCTGAATTGGGGTTTCCATATGAAATCTGCCATTCAGCACAGGCAGAATAGAGAATTTCCCCATTGGAAATCTGCGATTCAGCCCCGGCTGAATGGGGGTTTCCATAGGAAATGTGCCATTCAGCCCCGGCTGATTGGGGGTTTCCATAGGAAATCTGCCATTCACCACGGCCTTTTAAATTTTAGACCCTCGGCACTTTTAAGGGGTTAAGAACCTCTCGCAGCACAAAACCTTTTATTTCACTTCCTTAAAAAAGCAAATGACATTTTATGGCCCACATATGCAGTCATGTGAGTAACACAACAACAACATCAGGAGTGCTTTCATGCCCTCCCCCCTACACCCCCATCATCATGATGATTCATGCCTGCTCTCTGCCTGGAGCTGGTAACATTCAACTTAAAAGGTCTTTGGCATATTTTTGCCATGAGAATGTGTCTTTCGTCCATTTCTTTCGTCTTCTTCGTCATACAGACACATGGCCACCAATGTTTGGCAGAAGCAAGCTTCTTGGAAAATGAGTAAAGGATGGGGGAGGGAGGGAGTGAAATTTAAATCGCAAATTGACATTGATGCTGCCCTGTTTTTTGAATGGAAAATCTATTTATTTATGGCAACAATTTTATCTTTTGATGTCTGCCTTATGGCCTGACTGTCGCTCGCTTGCTCCCCCTACACTCGCTGAGATATGACTAGCTATTGGCTCCACAATGTCATTCTTTGATATGCCTCACTTTGTTCAGATCGATCTGCTATTTGGAATTTTCGGAAAATGTTAATTACTTTATTGTTTTGGGTCGTTGGCTTGGAGTCGTTGTTATCTCTGGTGGCTGGGTGGTTGATTGGTTGGTAGCTTCGGAAGCCCCAGCCACCACTAGCACCCAACAATGATTGACATTTACCAAATTGACTGTTAATGTCATGTTCGATTTTTTTTTTTTTGTCGTTTTGGCATTTTTAACGGAATTTAATTATGGAACGATAGAAGAGTAGGAGATACATACCTGCTGCTGCTGTTGCTGCCGCTTAATTGACTGATAAAAATGGAGACAAGAATCGAGCAAATTATCTGCAAGAAAAAAGGAGAAGAAATAGAAAATGACATACTTGAGTACTTGATTGAATTACGAAAAAGTTTGAAGCGAAGACAGAAATGTTGAAATATTTCAACTCAAAATTTAATAAAGAAAAATATTATTTTTTCCATGGAAATATCTTTTCAGAAAAAAAGTTAGAAGCTAAGACGGAAATGTTTGAGACAAAGAAAAAAAATTTGAACTTAAAATTAAAAAAAAAAAAAAAAAATTCTATGGAAATCTCTTTTGCAGAAAAGTTCCAGTCGCGCGGAATAGAAAAGTTTCAAGGGAGAGCTTCTAGGAAAATATAGATCTAAACAGGGAAGTCCCTATTCATTCCGGCTGAATTGCAATTCAATTGTTTTTTTTTTTTTTCTCAAAAGGAAAATTTTAATTCATCCAGTCAGATTTAGGTTTCCCATGGGAAATCTTCAATTTAGCCGGTCTAAGTTAGAGGTGTCTTGCCATCCACATCAAATTAAATCAAATTAACATTTCGCCTTTTTCGGTAAACATGGCAGACAAAACAAACATGACACCTAACAAACATTATTTACTTTACAAGTTCAAAGGACCCCTCCATTCCTCCCATCCCACTTCACATTGCCGCGACAAAACACAATGGGAGACAGTAAATAATGGAGTCATTTCACTCACCACCCAGTAAAGAATTTTATTCAAATTGAAGTTTGAAAGTAAAAACATAGATTTGAAGAAATACGAAATCCATGCGAAATGTCTGAGAAAAGTCGAAAGAAGTTAATTTCATACAAATTGCAGTCAAACCTCCTTCTCAAACCGGGGTTTTGTCTGAGATCTTGGTTTTGACTGGCCCTGAATTTGTGGCATGACCTCAAACCTTATCAAACCTCTTCAAACATTGATCCAACGGAAAACCAAAATTGTCTTTAAAATGTTCAATAAATCAATCAGTTGGAGTTCGAATCCGAAATCATAGATTTGAAGGGATACGATATCCATGCCAAGTGTCTGAAAAAACTCGAAACAGGATAACCTCATACAAATTGTTGTCAAACTTCCTCCTCAGACCGAGGTTTTGTCTGACATTGCTGTGAAACATCCACCTCCGACCGGGTTTTGCCTGAGATCTTGGTTTTGAGTGGCCCTGGATTTGTGGTATGACCTATTGACTTCTTTATACCATATCAAATCTACTTCAAACCTCTTCAAACATTGATACACTCGAAAACGAAAAACGATTTTAGAGTTCGATTCAATTAATTTAACAAATTCTTTTCGACGATGTCCAATGAAGAATTTAATTTCGCTTGAAGTTCGAAACTAAAATCATAAATTTAAAGAAATACGAAACGAAACTCGAAAGATAACTTCATAAAAACTGCTGTCAAGCCTCCTCCTCCTCAGACCGCGGTTTTGCTGTCTGCTTATCAAACCTGCTACAAACCTCTTCAAACATTGATCCAACAAATTAATTCCACACTGAAAGCATAAAATTGAAGGAATAGGAAATCCATTCGAAATGTCTGAGAAAACTCGAAAGAAGTTCGTTTCATACAAGTTGCGGTCAAACCTCCTCCTAAGACCGGACTTTTCTCTGATATCTTGGCTTTGAGTGACCCTGGATTTGTGGTATGGCATATTGGATCTCTTATTCTCGATCAAACCTACAGCAAACCTCTTCAAACATTGATCCAACCGAGTCTGAGATCGAACTTCCTTCTCAGACCGAGTTTTTTCTGAGATCTTGGATTTGAGGAGCCCTAGATTTGTGGTATATCCATTTGAGTCATCTATACCTTATCAAACCTACTGCGAACCTCTTCAAACATTGATCGAACCCAAAAAGGAAAAACGATTTAAAGCCTCTTTCTCTCTTTTTATTCAGCAAATATTCAAAGAAAAGTTTGTTTTCGCTTGAAGTTCGAAACGGAAAGCATAAATTGAAATTGCGAAATGTCTGAAAGAAGATAACTTCAAACAACTACTACAAACCTCATCAAACATTGATCCAACCGGGGTTTTGTATGAGATGTTGAATTTGAGGAGCCCTATACCTTATCAAACCTCTTCAAACAATGATCCAACAAATTCATTTTGAAAATATTCAATTACGATTTTTTTCAGTTTAAAGTTTTAAAGAGAAAACATTTGGAAGGAATGCGAAATTCATTGAAATGTCTGAGGAAACTCGAAAGAAGATAGCTTCATACAAATTGCTGTCAAACCTCCTCCTAAGACCGGACTTTTCTCTGATATCTTGGTTTTGAGTGGCTCTGGATTTGTGGTATGACATATTGGCTCTTTTATACCCTATCAAACCTACAGTAAACTTCTTCAAACATTGATCCAACCGAGACCGAAATCGAACTTCCTTCTCAGACCGGGCTTTTTTGAGATCTTGGTTTTGAGAAGCCCTGGATTTGTCGTATGACCTATTGGTTCTCTTATTCCACATCAAACCTACTGCGAACCTCTTCAAACATTGATCCAACCCAAAAAGGAAAAACGATTTAAGGTCTCTTTCTCTCTTTTTATTCAGCAATTGTTTTTAAAATCATTTAAAATGAAAACCAAAAATGTCTGAGAAAACTCGAAAGAATAGAGCTTCATACAAATTGTTGTCAAACTTCCACCTCAGACCGGGGTTTGGTATCAGAGCTTGGGTTTGAAGAGCCATGGATTTGTGATATGATCTTTTGGCCCCCTTATACCATATCATACCTACTACAAACCTCTTCAAACATTGATCCAACCGAGACCGAAATCGAACTTCCTTCTCAGACCGGGGGTTTTGATCTAGGTTTTGATCTAGGTTCTGAGGAGCCCTGGATTTGTGCTATAGGCCATCTATACCTTATCAAACCTATTACAAACCTCTTCAAACATTGATTCAACCGCAAAACCGAAAACGATTTTAAAGCTTTTTTTTTTTAATTTAATATTTCCAATGAAGAATTTGATTCCGCACGAAGTTTGAAACTGAAATCATAAATTCGAAGGAATAATAAATCCACGAAAAGTGTCTGAAAAAAAATCGAAAGATAACTTCGTACAAATTTCTGTCAAACCTCCTCTTCAAACAATTATCCAACTTCATACAAATTGGTGTCAAACCTCCTCCTCCTCGCCCTGAATTTGTGGTATGACAATTAGCTCCATTTTACCATATCGAACCTATTGTAAACCTCTTCAAACATTGACCCAACCGAAAACTAACTTCCTTCCTTTTTAGTCCGGTTTTAAGGAGGCCTGTATTCATGGTATGACTTTTGACTCGCTAATGCCATTTCAAACCTATTACAAACCTCTTCAAACATTGATCCAACCGCAAAACCAATAATGATTTTAAAGCTTTTTTCAATTTAATATTTTCAATTTGATTCCGCACGATGTTCGAAACTGAAATTATAAATCCGTGGAAAATGTCTGAGAAAAAAAATCTCTCTCAACCTCCTCCTCTGACTGGTGCTACGTCACAGATGTTGATTTAGTAGTAAGACTTATTGGCTTCCTCATATTTTATCAAACCTATTTCAAACCTCTTCAAACATTGTTCCAACTTCATACAATTTGGTATCAAACCTCCTTCTCCTCAGACCGGGGTTTTTATCTGTGATCTTGGCTTTGGGAAGCCCTGGATTTGTGGTATAACTTTATGATATATCAAACCAACTATAAACCTCATCAAACATTGATCCAACCTGAAATGGATTTAAAGCTTTTTTACAATTTATTTAGCAAATTTATTTGAAAATGGTCAAGAAAAATTTGATTCCGCTTGAAGTTCGAGACTGAAAACATAAAGTAGAAGAGATAAAAAATCCGTGAGAAATATTGGAAGATACTCCAAGGAAGATAGCTTCATACAAATTGCTGTCAAGCCCCCGCCTCAGAACGGGCTTTTGTCTGAAATCTTGGTTTTGAGGAGCTCTGGATTTGTGCTATGATAATTTGGGTCCTCTATACCTTATCAAACCTACAAAAACCTTCTACAAATCTCTTCAAACATTGATACAACCGCAGAAACTAAAACGATTTGAATACCTTTTTTCAATTTTTTTTCAATTTGAATACCTTTGTTCAATCCACCTCAGACAAGGGTTTTGTCCGAGGTATGGGTTTGAATTTTCCCAGATTTGTTTCCCAGACCGGGGTCTTAGCCGAGACATGGGTTTCATGTAGTCCCAGATTTCTGATATGTCCATTTGGGTCCCTTATACCACATCAAACCTACTACAAACCTCTTCAAACATTGATTCAACAAAATTCTTTAAATTATTTTAAAGCTTAATTTTAATTTTTCTCCTCAAATCGTTTTGTGGGTTACCTGAAGCCTCAACTGGAGATGGGTTGGTTCATTGCATGTTGTTGAGATAGTGTGGCTAGTCATCACCAAAATTGCAACGAACAACACACATGGCTGGTTGGCCGACTGGCCTCAAACAACAACGACACAACATCCACATAGCCATGTTGGGAGCAGAAGACAAACAAAACCATACATGTAGTAATGCCAACTGACACATGTTGGCAACAAATGTTCCTTCGTGTCTGTTTGTCTGTCTGTCGGCCGGTCGTCTGCCAGTTGATCCCAGACTGGAGGTTATCAAACGAACAACCGAAAAACAGCAAAATCCCGTGGAGCGGGAGTCAGGCGCCAAAACGAACTCCCTCCAAAAACAAAAAAAAATACACACACAAAAAACATGGACTGAGCACAACTTCTGGTCACAACAACAATGCTGTAATGGATGTGGACAGACCGACGGACAGACGGACTGACAGATATGACTGTATCTCTCTCTATTGTTCCCAACGAGATTTGCTCATGTGAAAAACTACAGCCTATCTTTTCAGCCTCTGAGTCATTTGCTGAGTATGAATGCACATGGGTTCAGTGGGGTCCCACTGATTACACGCCGCTACGTAGGAGGCAATGGTCCTTAATATCATCAGTGAAGCGAAAGAATTGTTTTGTTGTTGTGCAGGAGCAATGATCCGGGCAAATGCA